TTATATAGGGTAATACAGTTACCCAACTAATTATATAGGGTGAAAGTACAAAACAAGATTCATAGTGAAATTTCGTCAATATTCATTATCTTATTTAATGATAATTCGTTCTTTAGACAATGCCAGCTTTTCTCAAAAACAAGATGGCTGGCAGAGGGAACAATCGCGTCGAGAATCATTATCTTCAATAAGTGTAGAATCTTTGGGATCTCTAGAAGCTGACCAGGCACTTTTGGAACAGTGCATTTCCTCTGGTATGCCAAAGAGTATACCAGACACAAGGACGAAACCTCTAGATATTCCTGAACCAAGGTAAGTCTGAAATTGACTTGCATTGAGGAAGTAACCTTCTGATAAACTCTTTTCAGTTAAGAAATCAGTGCCAATTATTATTTTTTCATTTTCGTCTTTCAAATCTCTACAAAACCTAGAAATAATGTTTCACGTGTGGAGTTGGGAGTTTGAGAGCACCATTGAACACATAATAAAGAATGTTTCTTCAGGCTCTCAAACTCCCAACTCCATACATTAAATATTTTTTCGCTTTGCTTGCACGTTAAAATAGCTCAATCATCAATCGTCCTCATTAATACACCAGTTGGTTAAATGAATATTAATTTAGGCACAGTGAACCTAAGCTTTTGTATGGGTCACTTATAATATTATTAATAATTTTGAATAGAAACACTGTGTATTGACAATCACTGTGGTAATGACTAGAATTCCTAAATGTACTTGACGCTGCCGTTTTGACGTCTTTTGTATATTAGAGTACGGACACTAAACAAGCAGTGACAATCAAACATAACCACAAACGATTTTGAAGCAAATCATATGTTTTGCCAGACAAGGACAAGAATATGTATATCGCTTAGATAAAGGATCCTCGCATCTTCCTTCTTTCACAAGTCCTGGGGAGAGTCTATCTTTCTCTGTCTTCGATATTTGTATGACCCAAGAAGTGGTTCAAAATCCACTAGGAGCTATGTAGTCGTCTAGCACCTCTAAACTACGCATGAACATGCACATTCAGACTTGGGATTTCAACTTTGAAGAAGCGATACACGAACAATATATTCAACTCTTTGATATAGATACATCAATATCTGGTACATCAGAGTTCCACAAAGTGACTATATGTTTTCACAAAATTATTATAAGAGGGATGCGAAATCTGTTTCAGTCAGTCAATTCAGGAAGTTGCTGCTGTTTCATCATCAGATGATTGACTATGATCTCCATCATTCCATCACAAGCAATAACCAGAGTCTTAATTGGAATGAGGTTCTTTTCGATCAGTTAATAATTTGTGGGTTCGGCTCGTTCTCTCAATACTTCTCTCTCTTTTCTTCAACATCAAATCTTCGGTTCTGAAGTGTACCTGATAAAAATGCGTTGAAAAATGTTCTATACCCTACCAAGAAATTTAAATACCTCACAAATTTTGTGGCATGAACCTATATATTTCATGCCGGCTGCATCATATTTCATTTCCATTTTTGTAGAATAACGTTATCCGATAGAAATTCGAATAGAGTGAATTGATTTCCCGTGTTCTCACAGGATACCGCACAAAGTTGCATCTTTCTCCTAATTCTCCCAATTTGTCAAACCTTTGAAATTTATGTTATGTACGTCCATGTACTGTCAGTTCCCTCTTTTTCCATCAATTTATTTGTGGCTATGTCTGATTGTCAGTGCTTGTCATAGTGGCCGTACTCTAATATACAAAAAACGTCAAAATCAGCAGTGTCACGTACATTTAGGAACTCTAGTAATGACATGATAATTTGATTTGGGATAAATTTTGTGCATACATACAATAAGTATAATATTGAACATAAAACCGTCACTTCGGGAACTCCTTTCTTTACATTCAGTCAATCAGTTTCCACGGTATTAGTTTTGGTGTTTATATTTCTTTTCTCAAAACGGAATTTCAAATGATCATTTATAAAGCCTCTCATACCAATCGATTCTCAAGAAGTAGCGAGTTGTGGAGTTTGTTTGAACATTCTTCGTTCCGCAGATCCGACCAAAGGAGATCGATGGGCAAACAACAGAGCCGCGAGCGCCGCCCGTCGTCGCAGCCGCCCCACAGTCACCCGCCCCACGACGCGTCGCCGACCGCCCAGCAGTCAAAAAACGCGAATGCTGCGTCTGCTGCCGGGAGCACACCGCCGCCCCCAATGACATCGTGCATCCCCGAAGCGCCAATCGCGGCGGCAGGCGTAGGTTAGTGATTTATTCCGTTATTCTCTGATCCGTACCTCTGTGGAAGTTTTTGATACTGTTGTATCAAGGTTGTATCTATTATACAGGGTGATTCAAAAATATGTAAATGTGAATATTTTAAAGACATATTGTTGGAGTCAAAATGGGACTTTTTCTTCCTTTATTTATTCATTTATTATCATCCATACAATTCTAATTAATAATTCTAATTTACTTCTAATTAAACTGTTATATAAAAGTTTGAGCGTATCCAAATATTCGAAGTTTTGTGCTTGCCTGATTATAAATCCTAATCCTAGCCGACTTAATTACATTCTTGATATGCCTGTTAAATGAGAAAAAGTGGTCATAGACCACACCAAGATCTTTTACTTCTGTGGATCTTGTCAGTGCTTCATCAATTAATCTATATTTGAAAAGTATTGGGTCCTTTTGACGAGTTATGGTCAAAACGCACCATTTTTTAACGTTAAAGTTCAACTTGTTTATCCTACACCACTCTGGATGCGCTTGATATACATATGTGTTCTAAAATGTACCCCCTTCGAGCTACAGCCACTGCAAGTTGGCTAAAAAAAAGATTATCTAAAATTGTGACTAAAATAACGAATCAAATCTTCTGTAAATTGCCATGCCTCTGTCTTTTTAGACACTTAATTTCCTTCTTGCTTCAGAAACGATGTAAACTCAATTTTGGGGGAGTTGGAGGGGGTCCACACTTTTATTGGCCTACATTTTATGTTTGAAAAGAGGCACTCTGACTTGTGGGTCATGAAAAAATGTGTCAATTCAGTCTCTCGCATTTTTTTCATGCAACTAACAGTGTGCCAGAAAATCTTAATCAAAAAAAGGGGAAATCACGACATCGCGTTCGAATGTAATGGGTTAAACGCTTGCATTTTGCATACGGAGGTGATCGTTTGTCGAAACGCATTTGAGATTGCTATTTCAAAGGCGTGCAGTACTGGAGTACTTGCACTTGATTCGTTAGTATATCAATTTCAGATAATCTTTTTTACCCAATTTATTGTGGTTGTGAACTATATTGACTTCAATAAAAGGTGAGATTATTATTTGTTCCACCCAAATGAATAAAACAGTGATCGAGTTTATGAAATGGAACCATATTTAGACAATTTCTATAGTTGTATAAATCTACTCTTAGTTCTAGAAAATGTAGTTCAAAATTCCATTTAATTGCCGCACTAAAATTTGTAAATTTAAATCTATTCACCCACACTTACCTACCTAAGTACAAAGTCTTACTGTTTTAGAAAATAATTGCAACCCGGCAAATTGAAAACAAAAGCAATTGAGGCAAAAAAAAGGAGTAACCTCACGTGTTCAAATACTCGACGTTTTTTTTAATATCATTGTTTGTTTTGGTACTTTCAGACGCAAATCGTCAAGAAGTCGGACAGAGAGGGACGGCAGAGGGGCGAGAGAAAACAGGGACCCCAACAGAGAAGGAGGAGGAGGCAGCAGCAGATACGTCACCGGACAGATGCTCGCCTACCGCAGAGATCTCATTCACAGGTCAGTGGGTACAAGATTGATTCTTTCATCACATCACATTTTAAGCACAGTAAATCATCTGATTTGTCCCTACTGCAAGTAAAGGGCTTTCAAGCTAAGTTAATAGTGACCAGTTGAAAGGGAATGACTAAATGACCAACCGCCCGAATATGGATATGTCTAGTGTTACGATCGTCGGGCGTTATGATGTTTTTTGCAACCGACTCAAAAGCCGTGAACCCTCATTTATGTAATTTAATATGTTCATTTATCATTCAACAGAGATGCGTGGGATCAATACCAGCATAAATGACATAGGTACATTTGATAAATGAACTTTTCTTTATTTGTAATTAATGAACCATGTACCTAAACAATATACTGAATATAAAGTATTAATGATAATGAAAGTCCTATTAATAGTTATTTAACCAACTAGTGTATTAATGAGGGCGATTAATGATCGAGATATTTTAACGCACTCGCTTCGCTCGCACGTTAAAATATCTCGATCATTAATCGCCTTTTAATATACAAGTTGGTTACAAAATTTTTCCGTCGACTATATTTCTCATTTCTCCTGCAATGAAGAAAACTTGGTTCGCGAAGTCATAATTCATCCGGAAACTACTAAGAATCACCCAGTAGCCTTGTTACTGACATAAGTGTCATTTGACATTTGTCGAAATGATCAACATAGGAAATAAATTCCTTGTGTTAGAAAACAGGGATTAAAATCGTGTCAGAAACTTGAAAAGGCGAACCCGTTAACGGAAAATCGTTGATGAAATCCATATTTTCGATTTAGATGCAGATTCCGCTAGTTATAGCATAAACAATGAATGCACGCGGTGTATGTTTGGTTGCCTATAAAACAATCGTGCATTAATAGACAAATCGTCCATTAATAGGGGTCATTAATGAACGATTTCATATACATTAAACTTAGTCGTTAATACGAGGTCGACGGAAAAAATAATAACTGAGAATAATTCATTATATAACCACCTCAACAAACAATTACAGATATTAACGTCATAAACAACTTATTTTCTTACCAAAACACAATTATGTTTTGAATTCATCTTTTCTTAATAAAACTGATCAGTTTTGACAAATTCAACTAAACAATTTCAAATATTTAATCTTCTTCACTGTCATCAAAATCATTCTCACTATCAGCAGGATTATCCTCTCCTACATAATCCTTATATAATCACTCGTTGAATATCTTATAAATCCAAATTATTTTTTTTACCACCAAATTTGAATTATTTGTTCAGTATGGCGAATACTATTAGCAGTATTAGCCCATATTTCAGGAGTAACTTGCCCTATAGACTCTTTCCTTTTAGGCGTTTTGAATTAATCAAATTCAAAATCCACCAATGGTCCACAAATAAATCACAAACAAGTTCATAAAAGAACAAATTTTCAGTTATGAATCATTCGCAAAGATCAGCTGATCACAACAAATCGCTTCTAGAAATGTCAAATGAATCTGGCATCGCTGTCCAACTTTGCCAACTTGAATCGGTAACGCGGTTCTACCATTTCGAAAGTTACTAGTATTTTTCGTTGTGCAGTTTTGGTATGACATTGTTACCAACTATTGCGCAACTATCTAGACTGAGTGAAAGAACTTTATATTAAAATAATACTAATATAAAGACGAGAGAAAAAACAACTCTTACCTCCATGTTTATTCAACAGACAGTATTTGAGGTTTACAGTGCAGATTATATACTTGTCATAAGTCACAAATTTCAACACCTTTGCTATAATTTCTAATTTACTGGCTGACTGACAAAAACACCCCAAGCGCCGTTATAGATTATCCGATTTTGAAAAAGAAAGCAACTGAAATCTGAAACTATCAAATATTAGTAGGCTCTGATCATTATTTTTTCAAATTCCAACTGTAACATCAGTGACTGCCAACTTTTGTTTTATCTCATCATTTCTTTATGACTAAAAAGAGGGAAACATGAATTTCATCAATAGGTGTGAATTGTGAATGCCACAAACACTATCGTCCAGTTCAGTGACACATCGCCAAATTCAATGATATATCTCGAAATTTCATGAAAATATCTATTTTATGTGAACTTAGCATTTATTTTGAGTAATTCAATATCTGCGTGGCATATAGCCAGGAATGCGAATTCCCAATGTTTTTTTATATGTTTCAATTGTTCTCATGTTCATTAAATAGTGTGTCCCGAAATTACTTAGAAAGATTTCAACCACAAATTCTAGAAACAAAAATAGTTTAAAAAAATCATATAAACATGAATTACCAAATTCTATACCCAACTTTCCATGTCCGATTTGAATTTGTCAAGAACTTTCCGAAATTTAGATCAGGGGTGTGGGAAATTGGTGGGGCTAGTGGCACTTCTTCTCTCAACTTCTTTTATGCGATTTTCGGCAGTTTGACCAGGAAATATGGAAATCTCAACATGTTCACTCAAAAATGGCATTCTTCTATAGTTTCGATAGTTCTCACCATTTTCGAGATAAATCGATTATAAAAGTATGCTGCGTGATAAAAATATCGAAATGTTCCAAAAATTATGTTTTGATGGAAACTATCTCTTCTTTCAATATCTACCTTTGATGTTTGATCTAGAATTTGGGTGTTGCAATAAAAAGGATGAATTGATATACTGGTACAATGAACTGAGTTCATTGTACCAGTATATCACCTGACGAAGCTACTGTGTTAGCGAAACATGTCGTGTGTTTGAGAATTTTGTGGAAATCTTATCGTTTGTGAAGTTTTTACATTCGTCATGGATTTCCATCAAGTAACGTCCGAGTCAATTCAAAATTTATTTTTGGTGTCATATTCATGTTTTACATTACCGTTTTGTAAATGTTTGCTTATGTATATTGTTGATGTTTTATGAAACAATTGATCAAGAGATGAATTGTTATAATGTTGAAAGAGGTTTTTTAAGAATAATCGAAAGGTTTTTTGAAGATAATTGTCAAGGTAGATTTTTGAATTGATATAAATGGTTTCAACGCTTGTTTACATAGACCTCATCAGCCTATTATGCCATAAGCCAGAATAAATTGAAAAATACTATAATAGAAACTGATAATCAATTTCCGACTGAGTTGCATTGCACAATTGGTCATAAAAAGTTAGTTACATGTCGAGGTACATGTACAACATTCGGTCATTTTATCACAGAGGGTTTCGAAAATATTTACAGAAAACAATCATCTCGGACTCTCCTTCAGATGGCTATAACTCCCCTGGGGGCCATGTCTGGACCCATATGAACTTCTTTTACTATTTTTATTCCTAGAATCTGTTGTCGAAATATTTCCATCTACTTTCCGCACACCCTGTATATCTGATCGATCCAATCATCCCTTGCAGATCTCACGAGGAGTGGATCTAAGCAGCCCATGACAGCCCTACGCGACGCCCGCTTCGACGACATCGTCATGGAGGACCGCCTAGCGAAGAGCTGCGAGGATTCGCGCGCGATGGACCACCGCATGCTTGATCCTGCCGCGATGATCGAGTCGCTCGACCGGTTCACTGCCGAGCTGGTGTCGCAGGCGAGCCACTTGAACAAGGAGAAAGGATCGACCGGGGAGAACACGTGGAACGAGGACACGTCTCCCAATGAGGTCACGTTTCCTAGCATATCGGGCAGCGTGCCGAATGTGATCACGTTCGACAGTGAACACACCAACCACGTCGAGGTAATGATGATGAGTATTTTGTTCATATGTCAAAATCTGTTGTTTCAATGATTTCAACCAATAGCAATAAGTGATTCTGGTTAGCTATACGGTATCATACTGATCAATCGACTCCTTCATATAAATCATTTACAGTCAACCCACTTTCAACTTGAGTCCCTGTATATACCTTAGGTATATACAGGGACCCTACTTTCAACTATCTATCTATTGACATGGTTTTGTCGCAGTCATGCTTCTCTGTGAAGAACACACAGTAGCGGGTAGGTTTTGATATCCCTGTTATTTGACAGTGAATAAATACGTCATAATTCAATCCGTGGTATTTATACAATTTCCTATTTCTTCCTAATCACTCGGCATGGATGTGCCAGCAACCTCTTTTCCAAAGAGTGTCCCGGTTGCCAACAAGCCTGAAAGGTTTCACGCCAGGAGGAACTACTCCCACCGTTTCACGACGACTTGTCGCTATCAACAACAGAACTAACAGAGCCACCGAGTGTTTTATTGTTAAGACAAAAGCTCCCTAAACCTGGAGATTGAGGAAATCCGAATTTCCGACAACGGCAAACTGGACAACGAAGAGAAGAACGATTGGCGGGAGCTGAAGTCAATCAGAGACTGTTTGGGAAAGGGGACAAAAGGTCATGATGCGAGAATTTCGGCATACTGAGGACAGATCCCTTTGGAAAACTTGGAATTGATTGTGTCTTGGATTGTCATTTCGTTTTTTTTTTGTAAACAAATGGGGGGAAGTTCGCAGTCATGCTTCTCTGTGAAGAACACACAGTAGTGGGTAGGCTTTGATATCCCTGTCACCTGACAGTGAATAAATAAGTTAAATTAATGGTATTTATACATTTTCCTATTTCTTCGTCATTACCCGGCATGGATGTGCCAGAAAAGATACCTCCAGCAACATCTTTTCCAAAGAGAGTGTCCCTGATGCCAAAAGGTTTCACGCCTGCAGGAACTGCTCACTATTGTATGATTATTAAAGAAATCACCGTGTTGATTTATTACTCTTTAATCATCTGTTCAACATTACAAAAAGCTTTTGATTCTTTACCCAGCCCCAAAAGACTCTTTCTCCCTCTCTCTAGTTCCCGAATCCCGCCAATGTCAGTCGTCATAGACATCCTGACATTTACATATGACATATGACATAAAACATGATTAATTGATCCTTAGAGTATGTAGCATATAGCGATGATACAACATCTCTTTTTTTATATTCAAAAGTACCAGAACTCGGTACCATTTAAAATAACTCATAAAACTGATACAATTTCTAATATCTAACATAATCTTCCATCCAGGCCGGTTTACATACATTTCTCGTTGGCCTACTCAAAGTTTTTTCTTTTACTATATCAGTATTTTCATTATGAGCTGAAACCACATCACTCTCTTGTTTTAAAGGAAATTCATTCACTTCACTTTTTAAAGAATCCCTACTTACAGGAGTTACAACCTCAGTAACCTCACATTCATTTTTGAATGGTAATTCAGTTTGGGAATTATCAAGTAAAGGCCTTAATGATTCAGGTGGATTTACATAGCACTTTTCATTATTCATTTCATCAAAACTTTTATATGGTGCATGAATTAGGAACCACCTATTTCTCCTGAAAAGTCCTCTTTCTGTCTTGACTGTATATGACCTAGGTTCTTCTAACTTTTCAAAAATAGTTCCATATATTCTAAGATCTGTCACCCAAACTGTATCACCTTTATTTAAATCTGACAAATTTTGGTATTATGACGTTTGTCAAAATTCATTTTCTGTTGATTTTTCCTACTTTGCTCAATTTTAATAGATGGTTTTGGATCCACTATTTCATTTAATTTACTCGGTAAAATGGGCAAAGGACTTCGCAGTTTCCTTGCCATTAACAACTCAGCAGGACTGAATCCATTCTCAAGTGGCGTTGTTCTATAAGACAACACAGCCATGAATATATCTTCATCATTTTTCTTTAGCAATGATTTAGCTACTTTTACTGCAGCCTCTACCCCTCCATTCGATTGAGCAAAGTATGGACTTGATGTGATGTGTCTAAAATTATACATTTTTGCAAAGTTTCTAAAATTATTTTGAAACTGAGGACCATTATCAGTTCTAACCACCTCAGGAATGCCATATCTAGAAAATACCTCTTTTGTTTTTTCTATCACGGTATCCTGAGACATGTCAGTTAAGACTAAAAATTCAAAAAAACGTGAAAAGTAGTCTGTTATAATTAAATACCATTTTCCTTTGCACTTGAATAAGTCCATAGCAACCTTTTGCCATGCTCTAATAGGCAATTGATCTTTACAGAATGTTTCCTTAATATTTACCCTTTCCTCTACACAGTTAGGACAATTTCTAATTAAATTTTCCAATTGGGTGGACAGTCCAATCCACCAAACAGCCATTTTAGCCCTCTCCCTACATTTAGAAATTCCTTGGTGTCCCGAATGCACCTGATTCAGTACCTTAAGTTGCAAAACAGGTGGAATAATAATTCTTGATCCTTTTAATAGAAATCCTTCATTAAAAGAAATTTCGTGTCTATATTGATAATATGGGATTAACTCCAAAGGAAGTTGATTTTTTGTGGGCCAAAATGATGTTACATAATTCATTAACTTGCTACATATTTTATCTTTGTGTTGTTCTTGAATAATTTCTTGTAAAAAGTCATCTTTAATAGGTAAGCCTACTCTGATTAAGGAAACATGTGCTTCAATCTCAGCTTCAAGTTCTTCTGATTCCATATGCTGCAAAGGATTTCTACTGAGCGCATCAGAAACTACTAAGTTTTTACCTGGAGTGTATATTATATCATAATCATACCTCATCAACCTTATACGAAACCGCTGCAGCCTTGGAGTCAGATCATCCAGATTTTTACTTGTCAAAATTTGTATCAGGGGTTTATGATCTGTTTCCAATGTTACAGTCACTCCTAATATGTATTCTCGAAATTTCTCACAAGCCCACGTCAAAGCTAAAAGTTCTCGCTCTATCTGCGCATACCTACGCTCCGTTACTGACAAGGTACGTGAAGCATACGCAACTATCTCCTGATTACCCTCAGATCCTGATTGCATTAATGCTGCTCCCAGTCCATATGAACTTGCATCTGCACTGACTGTGATTTTTTTTTCTGGATCAAAATATGCTAAGCAAGGAGATTTTTTCAATAAATTTATTATTACCTGGAAAGCTTGTTTTTGTACAGGACCCCATACAAACAGAACGTCATTTTTCAACAAAGTATTCAAAGGATTAAGAATCTCAGATTTATTAGGAATGAAACGCCCTGCGAAATTAACCATACCTAACCACTGCATCAATTCCTTCTTGTTAGTTGGCTCAGGGAATTTTTCTATAGCAGATATTCTTTCTGGCTCAATGCTCACCCCTTTCCCGGAAATGACATGGCCCAAAAAACTAACAATTTTTACCCCAAATATACATTTATTTTTATTGAGTGTTATACCCTCCTTTTCAATCCTGTTTAGAACTTCTCTGAGAATTTGATCATGTTTTTCCCTAGTTTCCGCATGAACTAAAACATCATCTACATGCATTACAACACCGTTGACATCAGCTAGGATTTTTGAAAATTTATTACTGAAATATTCAGGAGCACATGATATACCGAATGGTAGTCTAGTGAATTTATAACGACCAAAAGGTGTTATGAAGGTAGTCAACTCCTGACAATTTTCCTTAATCCGTATCTGATAAAACCCAGAATTAGTATCTAATTTTGAGAAAAATTGTGATCCTTTCAAGTTAGCCAATGTAGTCTCAACTTTAGGAATTGGGAAATGAGATCTCATAACACTCTTATTGAGTTTTGTGTAGTCACAACAAATCCGCACAGTATTATCATTTTTTCGGACTACCACTATAGGTGACACCCAAGTGGTTGGTTCTTCCACAGGCTTAATAATTTCCAATTCCTTAAGTCTGCTTAATTCATTTTTCAATTTACCCATCAATGGTAAAGGAACTACTCTAGGAGCAGCCTGAACAAAAGGTACTGCTTCTGGTTTTAATTTAATTTCAATTTCTTCACCAAATGTTCCAATTTTCTCAAAAAGCTTAGGAAATTCCTCAAAGACCTTCACTTCCCTGTGAGTACTATTAATTTCATTAACAGTTTTAGCAAACTTCAAAATCTTTAGTCTTACAATACCAGGTCTACCTAGAATAGGTTTTTTCAAATGTTTTAGAACATAAACATCAAACTCTGAGGTATTTTCCAGATGTGACATTCTCAATCTCATCTTCCCTACCAGATTCAATGGTTTACCATCAGGGCCTGATATCAATTCTGTACAAGGTGTTATCTTACTTTTACAATCAAAAATATTTTCAGGTACACAAATGACATCAGCTCCCGAATCGATTAAAAATTCTACTGGGTCATTCAGACCATCTATTTTCACAGAACAAAGCCACTGTGAATTCTCATCATTTGCATTGTACATTGAACCCAAAGAAAGACTATTTACCTCATTACAAAATATTGAACCTATAAAATGAGTATCATCATTTTCTTCATCACATACCTCTGTGTCACAATCAATACTACCAACAAATTTAGATTTGCAAGCAATTCTCCAATGGCCCAATTTCTTACACCTTGAGCATGTTGATTTTCTTGCTGGACACTTTTCCCTTGGATGACTCTCCTTAGCACAGAATATACATTTGGATACATTATTGCTGCTGCTAGCATTAAGACTTGTTGCCCGTGCACTTGCCTTCCCTGCATTATTCCGTGACGGCCCCGCTGATTTAGCCACTGCCCGGATCTCTGCCATTGCACCTTGCCTTAGTACAGCATTCTGATGGTTATGCATTTCAGCCTGTCTAGCTGCTAAAACAGCCTCTGGCAATGTAAGATTAGGTTGAAGCTGCA